ACAGGAACACAAGCAGCAACAGCACTGGTAACACTCTGGCTAAAAGAGCTGAATCACCACAAAGCTGTCTCAAACTGGGGGGCTGAAAGAATTGATAACTGACACCCAGCTCAACAGCTGAGGGCACTTGCATTGTGTGCCTAAAAACAGAGCACAGCAAGGATTCAGTCACTACCCCAACACAGACAACAGCCCAAGTGTCCCTCAAGCTGTCCTGCACAGCAGTAGGCTGCATGACAGGATCTCCCCTTGAGTAGGGATTACCTGCACAGAGATGCCTTGCACCTTGACATCAAGACTCCTTCTCAATACAGATCTTCCATAAGAGACTCATGGTTACTTTGGAACTATCAGAGCTTCTCTAAGGCTATATCTTTAACTGATTATGTATATATGATCACTTTGACATTATTCCCTGGTCAAGCCTGCAATTAGAAGTGGATCAAGCTGCAATTATGCTTCTTACCTTTGTGGTTTTAGAAGTTTAGAAAGGATGGGGGAGCACTGTGAGACACTTGTTGAGCCAGTGTCAATCCAACTCAGTTCTGGGAACCTGAGCGTGCAGTTCAGGCAGCAGTGTTAGGATTACCCACAGAAAGGGAACCAAATGTTGTGTGTCAAACTGCAAAGCCAGAGTCTGGCTCCCAGATGAGAAATGTATGTCAAACATTCACTCTGCAATTATAAACTGTCATGAGACATTGTTCTCAACCTCCAGAAAAACAGGGAGGCTGCTGTGTGTGCACTTCATGCAGCTGCTAACCTCCATGAATCAAAAACCACCAACATTCCCCTATACTCTTTTTCTGCTGCGGCATGGGGTGGAAATTCTGATGTTACAGCATATTTGAACAGAATAAAAGACCTCTCATTCTCACTCATAATCCTTTAACCACATATACGGAGCTTTTACAGTTTACCTCCTCTGGCAAATGTAAAAGGAGAACTGGCTTCAATGGACTAAGAATAGGTTGAGGTACTGAATGAGTTCTTTGCCTCAGTCTCCACTGGCAGCCAGGATTCTAATAATTCTCACATCCCTGATCCCTGCATCCCTAAACCTCCAAGTGGGTGTCAGAGCAGTAAATCAGGTCAGGCTGTCACTGGTGGCCTTCTATGATGAAGTGATGGCACTGGTGGACAAAGGGAAGGCAACCAATATCATTTACCTGGACTTGAGCAAGGCCTTTGACATGGTCCCCCACCACATCCTTATCTCCAAATTGGAGGGACTTGGATTTGATGGGTGGACCACTCCATGGATAAGGAATTGGTGGGAAAGCCACAGACAGAAAGTGGTGATTAATGGTGCTATGTCTCGGTGGAGGCTGATAATGAGTGGTTTCCCCCGGGCGTCTGTTTTGGAACTGGCGCTCTTTTAACACCTTTATCAATGACATCAGCGATGGAATCGAGTGCACCCTCAGCAAGTTTGCTGCTGACACCCAGCTGAGTGGTGCTGTTGACAGGGTGGAAAGAAAAGATGCCGTTCAGAGGGACCTCAACAGGCTTGAAAGACGGGCCCGGGTGAATCTAATGAGGTTCAACACAGCAAAGTGCAAGGTTTGACACCTGGTCTGGAGGAATTGCAGGCATCTATACAGTTTGGAAGGAGTGGTCCCTGAGAGCAGCCCTGCAGAGAGGACCTTGTGGTACTGATGGATGAAAAGCTTCACATGAGCCAGCAGTGTGCTCTTGTAGTTCGGAAAGCAAATGGTATCCTGGGCTCCATCAGAAGAGGGGCAGCCAGCAGGGACAGGGAGGTGTCCCTCTCTATTCTGCCCTTGTGAGACCCCATCTGAAGCACTGTTGATTGTTTGTGGGGAGGGGGTTCAATTCTACCCCTTGCTTAAGACTCACAGAAGCGCTTTTGCAAAATGCAGCGAGAAAAATAAGCTCTTATCTGCATAGTTCGCAGAAAAAGGAACAAACACGAGGAAGTATTGGGACATAGTCAGCAAGAATCGGTTTTATTGTGCAAACTGGGCCAGAGGTGAAGAACCAGAGTGTGGAAGACAACTAACTTCATCCCCGAACACCACCAGCACGGACCCTCACTGCACAGGACGCACGCGCCAGGGGGAGGGAGTTTATGGAAATGAATTCCTGGAAAAATAATATGTAGATGAATTCCAGGAAGTCTACTGAATATGTATGAGCTTGGCTTACAAATATGTAATGCTTCTGCTGCCTGGTATGCAAGGTAGGCAGAAAGCTCCCCTCCTGCATCCAGCATGTGAACCATTGAACTAAACATACCTGCTCTTATAACTACTTTGTGGTTATAGAGTCTGATTCTGCAAGTCACTGTGACGTGTGGAATCAAACTGTATAACCACAAAGTGTTATAAAGCATGTATGGTTTATTCAGTGCTGCGCAGACACCGGGTGCAAAGGGGATAGATCTGCCTAACTTGCACACAGTCTAGAAAAATCGTGCTACAGATATAGGATGAACTAATACATAATCAATAGTTTTCCCGGAATTCAGAGGGTCACGGGATGAAGATTTGTCGTCTTCTTCGCGAAGGCTTCTGACCATTTTCACTGTAAACTTCTGACCTTTCAGGGGAACATCCCCCCAGACTGGTTTCTTCTTGCCCATCTAATCACCTCCCTGCCAAATGTCCTCTGGCTGTTCTCAAACCCTTATCTTTACGGCCTTCATCCCCCTCACTATCTCAGTCACAGTGTCTGCCATTCCTTATTTTCTAACAAGCTCTACATTCTTGCTTCTATAAACTATCTCTAACTATTCCCCTCCACTCCCCTTATTCTCAGTCACTGTGAAGTCTTCTTGCCTTATTACTTTCACTTACGGGGCCCGTCTCACCTTTCAACTGTGCGCAGGTCTGGAGTCACCAGTCCAAGAAAGACAGCTGTTGGAGAGGGTCCAGAGGAGAGACACAAAGATGATCGGGGGCTGGAGAACGTCCATAACAAAGACAGGCTGAGGGAATTGGGCTTGTTCAGCCTGGAGAAAAGAAGGCTGAGGGGTGACCTCACTGCAGCCTTTCAGTACCTAACCCGCTCAGCCTCACCTGCTCTGCGTGGAAGAGTGGGCCGCTCCGTCTGTGCCCAGAGCTGCCCGCAGGGCTGAGCGCGGAGCCCAGCGAAGGCCGAGTCCCGTCCCGCCGGAACGCAGCCGT